CCAGAAAGGATGGCTATTATCAAGAAATCAAATAATAACAAATGCAGTTCTTCAACTTTTGTGCTTAGAAAGGCTATATTTTGGCACCTCATTATAAAGAAGAACCATTAAAAAGGTCATAATATTGCAGTTCAGAAGAAAGAAACAGAGCTAAGTATTTGACAAAATGCCTCTTCTTGAAGTGATGTACAGTCTCCATAGATAAGCTAGAAAATGTTAAACATCTTATAAAAGAGTTCACTTACAGGTGTGTGCATATGATAAAGCAAACAATGTTACAGCAAATAAAAGATTTCTTGTACTTCAGAGAGTTAAAGGAACTTTTAAGTGGAATTGGTTACAAAATAAAATGGCTGAAGTAAATGGAAAACAAAAGAAATTCTCAGAGAATTCAGAGGGAAATGCCAAATAAACTAAGATACAAAAAGAAGAAAACAAAGAGAAAGAAAGAGATCTAGAAAGCCCTTCCAGGAGGTACAGTTGACCCATGATAGGAATATCTTAAACAGAGGACAAAGCAAATGAAACTGAAACAATAATTAATTTGAAGACAACTTTCCAGAGTTGAAGAATGAAGTACACCTGTAAATGAAGAAGGTTCACAGGGTATCTTTAAAATTTAGTAAAAAGGAGACAATGCTTAGACATCCTGGCGACTTTTTAAATTTCAAGGGTAAAAAAAAAAATTGTGCAAGCATCCAAACAGAGAAAGCAGGTTGCCTATAAAGAAGCAAAAGTCAGACTGATCTCAGATTTTTTTTCTATTGGAAAATGGAACATCTACAAAGTTTTAAGAGAAAATAAGTTTGAACCAAGAATTATATACAAGTTAGTATTTGTGTGTGAAGGCAACTGGAAGACATTCCCAAATGTTAAGAGGTTAAAAAAATATACTGATCAGGAACTTTCTCTGAAAATTTTGCTGAATGATTTACTACAGCAGGCAGAAAAAAAGAGTAGGGAGATAACTGTATGCAAGACTTGATGGTAATCATTAAAACTAGTTTAAAAGCATGAAGTCTAAAACTGTTACATATAAGGTAAAAAAGTAAATGTAAAATAAATTTATAAACTAGATCTAAAATATTCAGTTTATTCAGTCTTATATTAAACTGTCAAACCATATGCAAAATATTCAACGTATTGAGCAAGTAACTAGTTTTATTTTTTCCATGGAATAGCATACATAAAAATGCAAGCTAAGCCAAATTTATGTTAGATAAAAGTGCTTTGTTACTGTGGACAGGACAAGTAAAGACATTACAAATGTTAATCTGACAAAATTGGAAGATGGTACAGTATTATTTCCCTTTTTAAAAAACTAGCAAATTCATATGCTAATACTGATAAGAAAATTTCCAAAGCACTGGTTGGAGAGGAGGGGTAGACATACTTGAAATGCTGAATATCAGCACCAGTAGTTACTGCATCAGATGGTAGCTCACATAAGTCAATTTGCCACTTAGTTATGGACAAAAATAGACTATACATATCCCAAGTGGATGGAACTGAAAAGAAGCGAAAAACCAAGAAAAAAGAGTAAAAGAAAAATGCCAAGGAAGCATTAAAATTTCCATAAAATATAGACAGAGATAGAAGTGAATTATAAACTGGTTAAATTTCCAACTGAGAAGATCCAAATTGAGTAAAAAAATCAATCTCTGATCCAAGACACTCATGTTTGTATAAAACAAAGATGAAAAGGATTTGAAGGTTCTAGAAACTCTTTAGGTCGCAGAAATGAAGACTGCCATTTTCATCAGGCAGAAATAAAGATATTACAAGGTATTTCACATTTAAGACAATGTGGTATTCATACATAAGATTTTTGTTCAGTATCTTGAAGTGGGTGGTAATTTTACTACTGTAAACAGATACAGATATATACATTTTAAAACATTTAAAATTAGTGTACTTTATATACTTAAAATTCATTGAGCAAATCCTTCAACTAAAGAGAATACATGTAGCAAAACAGACTAATGCTGGTGAGGTTGCAAGAGAAAAACCCTTCTACATTGTTGGTGGGAATGTAAATTAATACAACCACTATGGAAATCAGTATAGAGATTCCTCAAAAAACTAAAAATACAGATTCCATTCAACACAGATATTCTCCTTCTAGGTATCTTCCTGAAAGAGTTAGACATATTACAGTAATACTTGCGTATACATGTTTATACCAGCACAAGTCATAATAGTTAAATCATGGAAGCAACTTCTATGTTCATCAACAGATGAGTGGATAAAGAAAATGTGGTATTTACATGCAATGGAGTACTACTCTGCCATACAGAATGATAAACAAGTCATTTGTAGCAAAAGGGATGCACCTTGAGACGATGTTAATTGAAATAATAAATCAGACACACCAGCTTAAATATCACATGGTTTTTCTTACATGAAAAAAACAAAATACAAGAAGAAAAATAAAAGATAAGTAATAGGAAACAGGAAGCTCTTTTGCAAAAAGGAGGTGAAGAGGATAGAAACATAACTAAAATATGTTATGTGCACACAGCAACGCCCCACGATAGATACAATTAATATGTATCGCAAACACTATTACTGGAAAAAATAAAGGACAATAATGAACAACTTTATACCAACAAATTCATCAACTTAGATAAAATGAACAAGCTTCTTGAAAGACACAAAATACCCAAAGCTCACTCAAAAAGAAATGCATAACCTAAGTATTCCTGTACCTATCAAAGAAATTGAAACTGGTTAAAAATGTTCCCACAGAGAAACCTCCAGGCCTTGATAGTTTTACAAGTATCTAAGTAAAATCTTCCAAAAATTAAAAAGGGAAGAACACTGTATTTCCCAACTCAATAAATAAGAACAGCAGTAGGCTAAGACTAAAGCCACATGGATGTTATAAAACAACTAGAAGGTGTAACTGAAGAGAAGTAGCTAATATTACTTACTGAAAACATTAACAAGAAATGTGCAGCCAGACATGGTGGCATACATCTGTAACCTCAGTACTCGGGAGGCCAAGCCAGGAGGATCACCATGAGTTTGAGGCCAGCCTGAACTACATAGGGAGCTCAAGGCCAGCCTGCACTACACAGCGAGACCCTGTCTCAAAAAAAAAGAAAAGTGAAGTAAAAAAGAAATGTGCAAAATTAATATGAAGAAAACTCTAAAACACTGCTAAGAGGCATATAAGTATTTTTTTTTAAATAATTAAAAAGCATTCCACATTCTTGGGTGGGACAATTTACCAATGCAATGTCAAATCACCTCACATTAATATATATTTGATATAACTGTAACTAAAATGCCAATAAACACAGAAGAATTTAGGAATCTTTCTGAATCAAAAAGCAAAGGACACAGCTGGGCATGGTGGTGCACACCTGTAATCCCAGCACTAGGGAGGCTGAGGCAGGAGGATCCTTGCGAGTTCGAGGCCAGCCTGGGCTACAAAGTGAGTTCAAGTCCAGCCTGAGCTGTGTGGCGAGACCCTGTCTAAAAAAGACAAAAGAGAAAAAAAAAAAAGCAAAAGACAAGCGTGGGTGTTGTGACATACGTTTGTAATCCCAGCACTCAGGAGTCTGAGGCAGGAGGGTTGCTGTGAGTTCAAAACCAGCCTGAACTCTATTAAAATAGATGCCACTAACAAAAATGGCAACAATTTTAGCCTCAAAAAAAGTATGTAAATGAATATGTTACTTAATAAATAAAAATCCAAGAGTCCAAAGTGACACTAACACAAAGAAAAAGTGAGAACTTAAAACCATTTTCACCATAGTAGGCTACATCAATCTCTTAATCTGACAATTGGTAGTTAAAAGGGAAAGAATCAAGCACTAACCCTGTTTTTAGAAGAATTCACCCAGCTGATAAAAAGAATGTGCTTTACAAAAGTTCAGCCAACAGATACAGAAATGGTTCAACTAGAAAATCAAATCAACATTTTCTAAACTAGGGGCTGGGGATTTAGCTCAGTGGCACAGCGCCTGCCTGGCAAGTGCAAGGTCATGAGTTCGATTCCCGGTACCGGAAAAAAAAAAAAAAAAAAAAAAAACATTTTCTAAACTCAAAAAAATTGATTTAGGTAGATGTTAGATCTGTGCAATCCATTAACTGAAAGACTTCAGAGTAACAGTGTTTGCAAGAAAAGGTCTTTGCCATAAAGAGAACTAGTATAGTTTTGTTTGTTTATTTGTTTGTTTCTGAGACAGTGTCTCTCTCTGCAGTCCAGGCTGCCCTTGAACTCACTATGTAGCCCAAGCTGGCCTTGAACTCATAGCAATCCTCCTGCCTCAGCCTCATAAGTGCTGGGATTACAGATGTGAGACACCATACCCACCTCTAGTGGTATTCTTAACCAATTGATGAAATGTGGCATTACTAATTGTAAAGCAACCTGACATTATATGCCTCTTAATATGATTTCCCCTATAAAATACCCTTATCAAACATGTTAAAATCTATGCAAGTCTTTACATTAAACTTAAGTTTATGGGTACAGAACGATACCAAAAGGAAATAGACAAACCAGAGTAGGAGCATTCATTCTACACTCGTTTTCTGTAACTTGAGTTTGCTCCTTGCTTCTGTGTACTCCAGCCTATGTCTTGGCTTTGACAAGTGTGGCAAACACTGAAGCAGTACACACAGGAGAAAGACTGCTACTGCTTTCTTCTTTTCATGGATGGGTCTTACACTGGACCTGTTGGCACATTTACAAAACTTCTTTGCAAAAGAAATGAAAATCTTGAGGGGTGGGAAAATAATAAGAGAACATCCACAGCAAAGACGAGTAAAGACTACATACAAAAGGTAGAGTTATGGTAGTGAAGGAGATAATGATAGAAGCTAAAAACAGTCACTCTAGCCAAGGTATCTCACAATTCCTACAGTAAGATAAGGTCAGCTGCACCAATGGATTATAAAGAAACCAGGTATGAGAATGATTCTTAACTCTCCCTGTTCTCTACAACCTTTTCAATTTCATAATGAAACACAAATTAAATTAACTTCACCTTTCATGGTGAAGAGATTGCGAAATGTACCACACAGGAAGAAAACTCCACCACCATGCATGTCAACGTGGAGCTGGTAGCCGTGCAGTCCATACTCTGGATTGTCATCCAGGAAGGGAACATGAGGAGGCAGCTCATAGGGGCTAAAAGCAAAGCACAAACACAAATCTGTCAACTCCAGGGGTAAAATATTTGGATTGAAAATATTTCTTAAAAACATTAACATCCATCCAAATTACTGCCTCCTACCAATGAGACACTATAACAATCCCAATAATCTTCCATTTCAAGATGTTACTCTTACCAACTTCTATAAATAGCCACAGATGTGAGTTCTATAGACAGCCATAAGACTACCACACTTGATGTGTTTCTACAGTGTTTCCACAGTAAATGTATTTCTGCAGCTGTTCTACATGGGCCAGCACTCTGGCCCCAGTGTGCTTCGTGTGACTAGAGTTAGGATATACTCAGCAGGAGAGGCACCAAACAACCTATAGGTTAGGGATCTGGGTGAAGACTCAAGCCAAGATGCACAAAGCTTGTTCGGCAAGAATTTACCACATAAGGTAACACAATTGAAAGTACTCAGGAGTCTTCAGACAATAAAAAAAGGAATATGGGAGAGTCTAAGTCTACAGGCGAAGGGTGACAGCTCTAGGTAAATGGAAAGTATATTCCCCACTTAATAACATTCAAATGCATTAAAAGACAACCAAACAAAACACAGCTGCAGACCAGATTTAGCCAGAGTTCATGTGCCTTGCAAAATATAAAAATTCACTTAAGTGCAAGACTTTGAGAGGAAGGGTAGCATCTTGTAGTAATGAAGCATTCCTATTTGTATAAATAATACTCTTCTAGGCATAAATTCCTAAACCAGAATAAATAAACCAAATATATAATCATAAATAATCCAATTATATTAACAGCAGCTAAATAGTTATACTTGTTGGTTTGTGTCTATTGATTAAAAATAGAATGTTTTTATAGCTATTCTCAGTATATTTCGATGATATCAACTTCTAATCTTTCGTACTGATGCTACAAAACTTTAATTCACCCACATACAGCTACGTACACAGCAGCAGAGCCTAATGTGCTCCTCTCCACAAGGTGATGGAAATGAAGATTTGCCATGACAAAAGCCAGTTCTTCCTCCTTCTGAAAAGTTAATTCAAAAGAATATATTTTTCAGCTGAAATATTTGAATTTTTCACAAGGTCATTGTGAAGATTGAAATACATTTATCTTGCAGATATATGCAATTTCTTACAGCTATCAGATCACTACATTACTAAGTACTAAGGCATTACTACTGCTAATATATTATTACTATCTAATAAGACTTACATGTCATACTGACAGCAGGGTGTGCAGTATCAAAAGAATTAACACCCTCATACTTGTGAAGTATCAAAATATTATATATGATGATTCCAAAAAATATATTGTCAATTCTATGCTGTTTTGAACTCTTTCAAAGATAAATATGGGAAAGACCTTCATAGATGCCAGGTACCAGATTATCTCCATAAATACTGAACATTACTGGCATAATTGTTCCTCTCTCAAGTGGCTGCTTAATTCTGCAATGACAGTGGAAATGATCAGATTCGGCTTCTTCACTTGCCCATCAGCTGAACAGCAGAAAATGAGACTATTCAGGAGCTGATCCACTCCTGCCCAGACTCACAACTGACACAAGCTGGTGTAGGAACCTCCAAAGGGTAACCCTAACAGTGCCATTTTCCAGGAGCCAGGCAGAGGACAAGCAAACCAACTAGAGTCCATGTAACTCTGCAGGCCAGTACAGATCAATGACTCCAGTCATGAAATGCACAGCAAGCAAACTGCTGCCTCACCCACATATCCACGTCACCTTCACACAGAAAGGTAAGAAAGGAAAGAAAAACTGACTGCCACAGTTGACTGAGAAAAGAAAAAGATATAAGCAAACGATACTGCATAAAGCTGTAGATCTTGATTCTATGTAGTCACTGAATAGAGAGTCACAGTGCTATTCTCAGTGTCAAATTTGGGAATTATTCTCTGAAAACATCCACAAGCAAAGCCATTGACTTAATCCAACCCTGGTATACATAAGTCCTTCGTGTTGTTCTGCTTTTCACTAAGCAGCTGCTCAGAAAATAACCCCCAGAGGAAGGCGTTAGCAATCAGTCTGACCTTGAAATCAGAAACCTATACAGAGAAAAAGGATAATTTCTCAGATGGTCAGCCCTGAAGGGCAGAGTTTATCCCATGCCACCTCCACAGGTCAGAAGCATGCTTGTGAGACGACCATAGTGAACATCCTAGAGAGGAGCTGTGGCACAGAAAGGACAGGAAAGAAACAGGAAGAAACATTAAATGATTGGAAGGGGAAAAGGCAGAGCCCCATGAAATTTAAAGAATAGCATTAACAAACAAAAAAGCAGAAGTGGTTTGTCATCTGCAATAGCAACAGAACAACAGAACAGAGGGTCAAGCATCTAGGAGAATAGGGTTGGTAAAGTGGCAGCTACTGAGAAGTCTTCAAAAGGAGTTTCATTTAGTCTCATACGTAACCGGCAGCAACTGTTTTAGTCTCATACATGCAACTGCTTGGCCATGATGGTGAAACGGCACAATACATACAGGATTCCACCTTACCTTCCACACCCCTACCACGAGACCAGGGTTTAGGCTGAAGATCCGAACAAGTCTGTCACAGCCAATCATGGTGGATTCAGTCAAATGACTCAAATCATACTTTGCAATTAAAGAATGCCATCGAGGTCTTTGAACACCCATGCCAAAGAAAGGAGAGAGAGAGAAAAATGAGCCTTCCTATCTGTGTGTTTGCCAATTCTCATTAGTGTATCTAAAAATGTTTTTGAAGAGCAAATTATATAGACTAATGTGCTCAAACTAAGTGACACAATCATGGAGTAAGAACACAAAACACTTCTATAAATGAAAAGCAAAAGGGAGCCACTTAAATTTCCCATCCTATGTTTTTCTTCCCTTCCCTTCCCTCTTGTTCTTACTGTCAACTCAATGACCTAGCAAGAGGTAGTTCAAAATTAGGGTGGTGATGAAATGACAGAATCCTCTTCCATTCTTTTCCCCCGAGACACCCAGGACAATAGTATAAGCAAAATTCGACATTCAGTATGTATTTCTAATCAAGTGAGTGAAACAATGCATAAGCAAAGGTAAAATAGTTTAACATAAAAACAGGTAATCTCAGTAGGCTATTGGAAAGCAGATGTGCCTTTCAAAGTTATATTCAGGGAGTATGCAGAGAAGTGAAAATGGAAACATTAGCAAATAAATTTAAACTAAAATCAGAAGTATTACATAAAGGAGCCACACTGTGAACTCACAGTCTCAATGTCTAAGAATAAACACTCAAATGTGTAAGAAAAGACAATCTGACTCTGCTCTCCATGGCAAAACTCAAAAACCTCTAGAGTGAAACATCCTAAAAGCACTGCAAGTGGTAGACACAGATGTCTGTCATCTCAGAGACAGGCATGACTCTGTCTAGAGATGATTCAGAAATAATAAAAGAGATCTCAATTGTCAACTAACAGAAGAGAGCATTAGACCAAAGTCCTTAAGGAGTGGGGGCTACACCACACTCCAGAGTCTGCCCCCTAGTACCTAATCACAGGGCAGTAGGTGGTAAATATGCAGATGTTCATTCAGTAAAAAAATTTTAAAGGTCAGTATGGAACTATTTCAAACCAAAGGGAAGGTTATAAGATACTACAAATTCACAGCTTCTACACTGCTGATTTCAACCTTTCAAAAGAACTCTTTGTGCTAAGACCTATAGCATGGTAAGGAGAGGTGGTCAGTGAGAATACTTATGATATATAAGCTAAAAATTTGTTCAGCATATGTAGAATGAACTTGGAAGAGGATGAACACCAAGAAAGTGAACTAATAATGGATTCTGCAGAAACAGAAGTGAAACCTTAGCTCCAAATGACAGCGACTGCACACCATCACACTAGTGTTCTCTGTGTGAAGTCACCAACCTCCTCAGAGTGGAGGCTGGAAATTAAGGAGAAAATGTCATGAGTGCTTAGTGCACACACCAGGTGCTCAGTAAATAGCAGTCATGGCTATTATCATTATTAAGGTGGAGAAAGGTTAGCGGGGATGTAAAGAATCCTCTTCTCTCACTGTTCAGTGTATGTGGACAGGAGAACACTCGTAAGTCTGGCTGTGGAGGCATTTAAAGAGACTCTGAGGACATGCAGAGTCCTCATGTACCTTGGTCTTATAGACCACTGACATGTACACAACCACTCACACACGTGGGAGGCACAGGACCAACCACAGAATGGAAAACAGGAAATGAAGAAAACTTGGAGTCCAGCTGGAGAGAGGTGTTATTGGGAAATTCAATTTGCAAGTTACATCAGTAGGTCTTTCACTGTTCCTGAAAAAAATTCTCAACAAGAAAAAAAAAGACTTAAATAAAGTCAAAAGCACTTTCTTGGCCATCACACAATTGCAGGCAGACATGGATCTTCCCTTCTGCATGATGAATGTGCTTGCTCACAAACTTGCACTGAAAGACTGATCAAAACAAATTCCTGTAAAACACTTCCAGTGCTCTTTAGGACAGTTGATCAAAGACTGGCTGAAGTCCATACAGTTTTAATGAAAATTAATTACATTAAATGAATCTCTCCAATACATTTTCCAGCATTTGTCACTATCATATCTACTATTCCTCAGCTTGATGACAATTTTCAGGAACTAACTATTTTTGAGTAAGCTTTACATCTCAACATTATCCATTTAGTCTTTCACAATCATTTTAATTAATGTTAACAATTGTGTCCCAGTGCTTGTAAACAACAATCCATGATATGCCAACAAACAAAATACCCACAGAGTTTGTGGACTCCCCCCAAAATAATTTCATAATGAATAAAAACTAAATACTGTATCAGAAAAATCTGGTGCCCGGCATACCACCTTATAAAGTTTCAGATTTATCCCAATAACAGTACTATTTAAAAAGATAACTGTGTCCCAAAATATTTTCAGTAATACAAATGATTCACATACAAAATATTAAATACATTTTCAGAAGACATCGAGACCTAAACCTACTCAAAGCTTAGTAAACAACAATTAGTATACCACTTATTAAAGAAGAAAAATATAACAGTTTGACACATCTTTTTGTTAAAATGATTAAAGCTAAAAACTTCAAAAGGTTAGCCATCAGTAATCCCGGAAACACTGTTAAGTAGCATAACATGTTTTACTGTTACAGATAGCCACGATAGGAGAATTTATATTTAAACCTAACCATAGTGTGACAGATCTATTTTTTCTCAATTAGTAATACAGAATGACAAAAATGTCTTAAAGATGCAATCAAATTAATTTGTGTTTTTCAATTACAAAAGCAATGCTACTTAATATTTACATGTAAGATGTTCTCACTGACAGTTCTGCTAACAGTACTTACCCATTTTTGGCAGAGTCTTTATACCGGTCCATAAAAAGTGGTGTCATACCATACAAATTCAAGGTTGACAATGTAGCTAAACATGGCCAATTTTTGTCATACCACACAACAGTAATAGATGTATCATTCAAAGAAAGATCAACATGTGACATGATATATTCTCTTCCATTCTTTTCTTTCAATATAATTGCCCAGCCTAAGCCAGATATTCTGCAGGAAGAAAACTAAAAATGTTTATTTCATCACAGCAAAAAATGTTAAAGGCAATTTTATATATTATATCCAAAGCATTTATTTCCTTAAAAGCCAAAGTCAAAATTCTCAGAATACAGCCAACATAATTGTCAGTGCACCAGCTGTTCCATCTTTAGACTTTCCCGCCTCACCTAACAAACACTCATTACATATCTATGATGTTCCAGGAACCACCAATACACTGGTAAGTAAGGCAAAGATGCTGCCCAGGGGAAAGAACACCTTGAACATCCTTGCTTTTGACAGCAGGTCACTAGCCTACTCCTGCTTTATACATAAGGCCATATTTAAGGAATAGGAAAATACTGTATATGATATAGATATATAAAAACATAAAAATGAGACAATCCTGCACAGTCTCAACTGTATATCCATCCTATGTAGGTAACTCTCTGAGCTGATACTGTCATTCTTTTCTAAAGTGGTTCCAAGCTAAAAGATTCCACAGTCCCATTCAGGAGCCTCAGAGGCCACTGTGCAAGAACACACCACCTACCTGAGGGCCTCTTTGATTTTCACAGGAAGGCCTGTGTAAGCGTTGACAGGTTTGAGAATCTGAGCTAGTGCTGCTTTCACAGATGTTATTTGTTCTGTAATATAAGTTTTCTTCCAATATCCAGCTTCTTTATCCTCAACTGACAGTAAGCTCACAGACACAGCTGTCTCCTCCACTGAATTAACTTTCCAATTAGATCTTTTAGGTGAAAATGCCATTGAGTAGATTCTGACCCAAATAAAACTGGAGGAAAAGGAGAAAATACATTAACTAAGAAACACTGTCTAAAGTTACAGTAATATATTAAATTAGAAATTCACAATAATTTTTAAATAGTCTGATTACAATAAGTCAAGCTGAACATTTATAGTTGTTGATGTGTAAAGTGAACAGCGGTTTGAAATTAAGTATTTTAGATTCACCAACCCCAAAAACACACTTTAAAGCCTGTTTCTGAGCATCAAGTTGAAAGTGAGCAATCTCATGTTATTTGGATTTGTTCAGACCTGTGCCTTCCTGTATCAACAATAAATAGAAAGTCTATATACAGTACTGTACAAGAAAACACCAGAAAGTGTATACATAGTGTACATAGTGATTCTTTTGTGTGTGTGTGTGTGGTACCAGGAATTGAACTCAGGGCCTCATGCTTGCCAGGCAGGCACTTGTGCCACTGAGCTATATCTCTGGCCCATGATTCTTGTTTGATGTAGATGCATGCTTTTGAAAAGATCAGAGGCCAGGGATACAGCTCAGTGACACAGGGCCTGCCTAGCAAGTGTGAGGTCATGAGTTCAATTCCCAGTACCAAAAAAACAAAAGAAAAAAGATCAAAAAAGATATGTAGGAGCTGGGGATTTAGCTCAGCGGCAAAGCGCCTGCCTGGCAAGCACAAGGTTATGAGTTCGGTTCCCGGTACCGGAGAAAAACCAAAAAAAAAAAAAAAAAAAAAAAAAAAAAAAAAAAAAAAAGATATGTAAACACACAAGAAATATTAACAGTGAATAATTAAATTATACATTCCTTTTGCTTCTTACTTTTCAATTTTTCAACAATGAACATGCATTGATTTCCCAAATTTTTTTGGGTGAGCATTTGTAATAATAATGACAGGGTTTTTTTTGAGCACATGCTATTTGGTGAGTGCTGTTTTAAGCACTTCATAAACATCAAGTCATTCAGTCTTCACAACAAATGCACAATGAGCTACTCTTTCATCCCCATTGTGCAGATGATGTAAAGTGTTCTGGCCCAGATGAGTGCACTCAAGTATGTGATGAAAGAGGGATTTGCACTCATGTAGAGCTCACAATCTTTCCCCCTGTGCTTCACTGCCTCTTCAACAACATAAAGACTTGGGTTTAAAGAAACTGACTGAGCTATCCAAATTCAGCCCAAGCCCTACCTGTGAGTACATTTTTCATGGAGATGTGCATGAGGCTTTGGGGTGACATCTAGATATAAACCCCAACATTCTGCCCCTGCCCCTCTAAGGATTCATGCACAACTCTATGCAAGATGCATTTAGTCCATCTCCAAGAGTTGCCCAAATCTTAAGTTTAAACATTGCTGAAAAGTCCAAGTCCAAAGCCTCCTCTGAGATTTAAGGCAAACTCATAGCTGGGAGCCCCTGTAAAAACCAAAAGAAAGTTAAAGACTACCAACATATAATGGCATAGGATAAACATTCCTGTTCCAAAAGGCAGAAATAGGAGTATAGAAAAGAATGGGACCAAAATCCAGCAGGGCAAAGATTAAATCCCTTATTTTCATTTCCAGCACCCTGGTCAAACTGTGGTGAGATGTGAACTCTAAAAGGCTTGAGCAGCCCCACCCCTATGGTACTGCTGCTGGTAGCTAGAGCCGTCATGGCTTCTCTCTTGGGCCAGCTTTGCTCACCCAGTTCATGTTCCTAAGTTCATTTTCAACATCCTAAGATCTCAACTGCACTTTTGGCTTCACACTCATATTTTTACAAAATGCCCTGTCAGGCCTTCTTTGGAAATCTGGGTGGAAGCCTTCCTGACCCTACAACTCTTACATTCTGCTTGTGAGTAAAACCAATACTGCATGGATGACACCAAGGTCTGCCACAAGCTAGAACAGCAGCTGAGCCATTTTGCATCTTACCAGGGACTGCAGAAGCCTCTAAGTGCCTGGATGGCCGAGCATGGTAGAATTAATACCAGGAATAGATTTCCATTCTCTCGGCTAAAGTCATTCTAGCGCATGGTATTCTGAAGCTCTCTTCTCAAAACAAAGTCTTTCACTTTTGCAATTTTGAGCCTTTGAAGGGTGGAGCACTGCTGGTTCCTCATATTCCCTTAATGTATTTTTGTTTTGTCCAGATTTGAGGTACTTGGTTTCTTTCTAAATCTAGTCTTTTTAGCAACTACACTCTCTCCCACTTTATCTTTACAGGCCCCAATTTTACTTACAATTACCTTTTGGGCCAAACTCAATATATTTTAAAATCATTTACCTGTTACTAGCTCTTGATTTTTAACATAGATCTAGCTAAGCTCCCAACACCGTCCATGTCACAGCCTCAATATTAGCCGGCCTTGAAATTTCCTCTGCCTGATTAATTAGCCTGTTGCTCCTAATCTCAATCTCCCACAAAGTCTCAGGACATGAGCAAAACCCAGATGAATTTTCAGCCACAGCATAACACACATGGCCAAGAATGCAACTGCCCAGTGGAGTCCTTTTTCTGAACTGAAACCTCTTGAGCCTGGTCTTCACTGGCTGCATAACTATCAAGATTCTGGTCTTCTGAACTCTGACCAGAATCTCCCATCAAGCTCAGCTCACAGAATTCTAGGGCTCCTTCTCTAGCTGGTATCTCTGAGTCTTTCAAACTCCTTCTACAAGTCAAGTTCCAAAGGCTTCTGAGCCACATGATCAAGTAGCATCACAACAATGACCCAACTTCTCCAGTACCAAAAGTCTATCTTCCTTTCTCATCACTAAGACACTAACATCTACAACTTAAAACATGAAAGGTTTATTTTGGCTCACAGTTTACAGAGGTTTCAATCCACAGTCAGCTGGCTCTAAGGCAGGGCAGCATGGCAGAGCAGAATTTCTCATGGTATGGTGGCAGGAAGCAGAGATTAAGGGAAGGAGGAAGGAGATAGCCCATTCCAGGCCACAGCCTCATTGACCTCGTCCTCCCACCACGCTTCACCTCCAGCATCACATTCACTATAATTCATCAGTGGACTAATCACATACCCATGATACTCATCAATCAGCTCCCCAAAGCCCTACCTATCAGTGCATGAGGCTTTGCAGGGACATGTAGATACACTGTAACACCTACCATGGTCCAAGATTAAATATTAGAGCCCTCTCGCTGTCATTCTTCATTTCTTTACCTATTAACAAACTCACCATTAAAACCTGCATTCCCTCTTATTTGGTGTTTTCCCTAAAACACCATTTGGTATGTAGGTTCTCTGGAGAATCAATATTTGTATAATCTTTTGATGTTGAATGAGAGAGACGTCTAAAAACCAAAGATGTGGGCCAGGGATATAGCTCAGCAGCACAAGCACCTGCCTGGCAAGCACAAGGTCCTGAGTTCAATTCCCGGCACCAAAAAAATAAAAAATTAAAAAAATAAAAAGCCAAGATGTTCAGTTATGGGCACAAAATGCTCACTATAAGTAAGGGAGATCTCACCATCTCTCTATATAAGAAAAACTTCTCAGGTGCAGACAAAGATCATAAAAAAAAAAAAAAAAAAACAGTGGCAAGGGTTTTTTCTCCTCTTTATTCATACATACCCAGGAAGCACAAGATACCCAGGCTCTCTGCTTCCACAGGTAACAGCCCCTGAAGTGACTCTGGACCTCTCTCCTCCCCTCCATCACTCAGGAGCTAAGTCTATTTAATTTTTCCCAATCTTCTTCTCTATGATCTGCTTGACTTCCAGCAGAAAGCACACAATCTGCTGTGGGAACCCAGGGCCAGGAACAATGGGGCAGGGAGATCATATGGGTAAGTCTTTCCAGTTCTGGATGAGAACAGCTAACACTCCAGGCCAGCAGCCCAAAGTTGCACTCTTCAATAACTGCAATAATAACAACCTTGATCCTTCTCAGTATATGCAAAGAATATTCCCTTCTTTGGGCATATAAATGCAATTAGCTGAAAATATCATATGACTAAAGCAACTGACTTATTTATGTCTAGAAATAGTATTGAAATTAATTATCCTAAAATTTTTAAATGGTTGAAGAGGTCTTACTCATTTTCATAACTTCTAACAAGCTGTCATTAAAACATAGCAGAGAGATTTGGTTTTCTCCTTACTTGTCATTGGCCAAATGATAAAATCGCCTGTTCACACAGCCAATACACAGCAGGCTCACAGCATCCAAGTAGGAAAATATCTTCAGCAAGATTTCTGAAGGCATTCTGAGAGAGGGGGATAAATCAGACAAGTGAACCGACCAGTGCTTAATCAACAAATTACCCAGAAAACAACTGGCTGTTCATCTCTAAATACAGACAATAAACAGACCCCTCCTGTACAAGAGGCAAACTATAACCCCATTTTCAGTTATTTTCTTGACTGACATTTTCTGGTTATTATAATTCTCAGGACATAAACCAGTAAAGAGACCCAAGGGCACACAGTGCAAACTTGCTAAGCATTTTAATCATGTTCATACCTTATGAGTCAACAGGCAGGACTTCACTGCCTCTCTCATGGAAGTATGTATTATTCATTGGTGAGATAAAGGAAAATAGTTAAAATGGCTAAGACTAAACAGTTCTAAATACTGTTCATAGGGTCGCCTCCAAGCTGGAACAATCAATGTTTAAACCTACATTAAACCCATAATTTTCTATGGAATGCTATTTCACATTCATAGTTTCACACAGTTATTGGGGTTGCAATAGGGAATGATGAGGAGAGCTAGGGAAAGAAAAAGGTGAGAGGTAGCACAAAGAAGTTCAAAGTGTGGGAGCAAGGAAATTTTGCTTTAGGCCACTGAGCTTCCCTAAGACATGTTGTTAATTGTTTATATTCATTTTCAGGACTGTAGAATTCAAATATGAATATGTCCTCATCCCTATTTCATACTGTGGGCCCACCCTCAGTTCTTGCATCCATAATCCCCACTCCTATTACCCCCGTTCTAATGGAAAATGCTCATCTCCTTCCATCAAACCACCTGTGCTCTGGGTACCCATCTGTGTACTCAGACTTCAATCTTCCATTCCTGCCTTAGTCATCTGAATCATTCATACCAGCATCTGAAAACTACCCCCTCCAAATATCTCATCCTAACATTACACTCTTCCCTTGATTCCTCTGATCCTCAAACTCCCTCTGGCTACCATAAAATTTCTATGATCCCTTTCAGTGCCAAACTTCTGGGAAAGAACAAAAAAAAACCAAAAACTTGTCTATACCTGCTGCCTCTAGGCCTGTGGCCCTAACTTTTTGTTTCATACACTTCAGTGTGAAATATAACATGCAAAAAAATAAGCATATAGCCCACCCCTCTCCACTGACCTGCGAAAGTTCATCAAGGGTACCCACAGCTTCCCTGCTGATCACTCCTATTTTTGAAGCAATCTTCTCCTCTTCTGGTTTGCTCAACACCCCATTCTCTTGGATTTTTTGGATCTCAACAGGTCTTCCCTGGCTCTTTTTGCTGCTTTTCAGTATCCTACTTCCTCTCTGCTCATTGAGAGCCATCTTTGCTTCTCTTCTCCACTCTTTCTCCAAGACACCCTGTCCACATTCATGAGAACCAACTCCCTCCAGACTTCACCATGAATGAGACTCACACCCACTGCCACTTGACATAACTCCTTTGCTATTATTGTGACTCTTCCACTGCTAACCTCAATTCTTTGCCATCCCAATCTGCTGAGCCTCCATTTACTCCATGGCTTAAGCCAACAGTTTCAGGTTCCTACTTGATGTCTGTCTTCCACTCATACCAACATCTAGTTCATAAATGAGTGACACCTGTTACACCTTCAAATACATCTACATTGGTCAATCTCTCCATCTCCCCTCCTTCCAGAGGAAAGACAAGTAAACAAGCAAATGAGATAATTAAAGGCATCACATCACACTCTAACTAAAGTACAGCTCCTCCCCGTGGCCTAGCAGCTACAGCCTCTGGGTCCCTGACCTCCTTCTGCCACCTCCCTACTACCCAGGTACCTGCCCCCACCACACTTTGAGCACTGCCCTGCTCTGAATCTTTGTGTTCCAGCTTCGGTTCAATCTTCTCCATGTTCCTCAATCTCAATTTTCAGTTCTTATCCTTAATGTAACCTCCTCAACAAAGTCTTTCCTTACCATCCTACCATATTATTCGGCACTATGGAATCCATTTGTTTTCTTGACAGCATATGCTCAAATTTTAATTATTTATTTTTTTAAAAATCTGTCCCCTTCACTGGTTTATCAGCTTCATAAGAACACAGGTAAGGGCTCAATATGTGTCTCCAAGCACCATCTACAGCACCATACATTTAATGGCTAGATTAACCAAATTAACAAAATTTTTCCTTATTTCTTATATCAGATTATTGTATGACAGATTCTACTCCCAGAGTAAGGGGTTTTAAAACTTAAACTGATGTCCTTAAATATCTTTGATTTACTTTATACAAACATAGTATACATTAAAATGAACATATACAAATATGGAAACCATAATTAAGCTAATTATGATATAGTATTAAATACTCGGAACTTCAAAGCAGGCAACTTATGTTTAAGTCACAGTTTTATAACACTTAGACTATGTGGGCCTTATTTCTTCCAGTGTAAAGTGTCTGTCTATAATAATAATACCAAGTTTTCAGGCTCCACACAATGCTTAGCATACAGATGATGTAAATGCTACTACAGTACAAATCTACAAACACCTTACCATCAATTCTAAATAACTCTTTTAAAAAAGATTCTATGGTGCTGAGGTTCTCCATATAAAATCCTGCCATGAAAAAAGTTCCCAAAATACTGAAAGCTAAGAAATTTAGAGAGCTCCCAAGCTTTTCAGAGGTTTTACTTTAATTCCTCTTTCTCCATTTTCAAGGGCTTTCATCAATTGAAAAGTGAATAATTTTCAAGAACATTTTCATAAGAAGAAAATTCAACTTGTCATTTTTAGAAGTTTGGTTTCATAAAACTAGACTAATAAGGATAATGATGACAGGCTTATGACTCATATCAAACTCTCCATGTTGTAAATTCTTCCTACACAGTCCTATTCTTAGAGAGTTCAAAATAGCAAGCTGAAATACACAGCATGACAACTTTCTCTAAAAACTGCATGCCTAGAGGCCCCCACCCACCAAAAGCAGTTTACTTCTGCTACTTACCTATCCAAGTACACAGAACAGTTAGAGGACGATTTCTCCCAGTGCTGGCTATGTCTGGCATACTGCCTAAGAGCAGTATTGCCTGCACAGAATTTGACACCCCGCCCCTTTCTGCAAGGAAAAGTGGGAAATTCAAATTACATGCTCGGCTGAAGTGAATTATCTGTTCCCCTCCACAAAGTTCTAAAGGATTCATAAAGCCAATATTACTCACTGTGAAACTTCATCTCTGCAGAAATCATGGGAAGAAAACAAGGAAAGGACAGAGAAAGGAAAAGAGAATGAGAAAGAAGGGAGTTATGAAACTGTGGCGTCCTGGGTAAAATAAACCTGAAGATTGCACTCTGATGTGTTTTCAACCTAAGGTTTAACACTAGCTCTCACTAAAGGTTGTCAGAGAAGTGCTACAAAATGGAAACAAAGAAAAAGACACTTATATATTACTGGCTGGTTTTGAAAATACAACAGAAACCTAGCAAAGACACCTTCATTTTTAAAAACTTCCTATCTGTGAACTAGAACTGTCAACACAATCTATGACTCTGGTGCTCTTTCAGGGACTGGGCTGGTTCCAGTTTTAGCTTTGGCAGTCTTAGCCATAGAAGTACCAAATAGCCACATTTGTTTCTCTATATCTCACGTTTAATAAAATGTATTTGAATTAGTTACCTTTTTATTTTACTGATGCATAAAATAACAGGTCATCTTACAATGAATGACTTTTTAGATTTTATGAAATAGGGGCTGGGGATTTAGCTCAGCAGCACAGCACCTGCCTGGCAAGCGCAAGGTCGTGAGTTCGATTCCTGGTACCAGAAAAAAAAAAAAAAAAAGATTTTATGAAATAAGATACATTTTATGCAGTTACTCCTTTTTGGGGTCCCTAAAATAATTTTCTACTGAGATCAAACTTCAAAACCAGGAAAGCTCAATAGTACCTTGAAGGGGATCTGAAACACCCAAGAAGTCATGAAGCCCAACCTCCCATTTCTTAATAGCAGCCCTCAAGAAAACTCCTAGTAGGTAAGTTATTTCTCTTGGAAAGGTTTTGAAGTTGTTTCTTTAAGTAATCTACAATACACAAATATCTAGTTTTGCCCTCACCTCCAACCAGCATGCTATTTAAGATGAGATTGCAATCTACAGTGTGTATTACCCATATGCTCAGTTCACCAGCACCATTGCTTTGAATACGTATTTTGTTCACCAAGAATTTAACTACACCCAATGTTTTCCAGCAGGCTAATTCCCCAGATGTATTTGAACTAACACTGAAAAATGATGTGGGCAATAATTGGAAACTAAAGTATGATGGTCTAAGAACTTCAAAGGCGGGCTGATTAACCCACTGGTAGCTGAAGTATCAAACCCATACAGAATGGATCATAACAGAAGTTGGCCCTCAACTCCAAGCATACTCTGCCCTTAGGGGACACAAGAACCTTCACACAAAGCCTCGGTTTATCTAAGAGCAACAACATAGCCTTCTACCTACTCCAGAGCTGGTATACTATGATGTATGTATGTCAAATCACACAGCAGCATCTGTTTGCCATGCGCAGGAAGCACTATCCCCATGTGCTAAGCAGCTGGCAAGTAAGTTTCTCTTCCTTCAATAGATTTTCCTCTTTAGAAACAAGCAGAATGGCTGGCACCTGGGGAGCCCTCCATAAATACTACCTATCATCTGCACACTGGTATCTCAACATAGAAGAAGCTGAATAAGATAAACTTTCCCAGATCCTGGAGGGTAACAAATGCACTGCAGTGAAAAATGCTGGCTCCAGAAGCCACTCCATTCCAGCTCTGGCACAAAAGGTTCAGTGCAGTTTTTGCCTTATCTGACTTTCTAGTCACTGCTCTCAAGTTAGTCCAAACAGATGTTTCTCAACCTGCACTCTGCAGAGCAAGAAGAAGAGGGAAAGAGCACAGAAAGAGATGTGGATTTAAACTTTTTGAAATGCCCCCTCCCTAAAACAAACAAGTCTGTATTGTGTAAATTCTATGTTGATCTCTATTCAAAGATAAAATATCTTTAATTGACAAAGGTTCTTAACATTCAAGCTTTAAATAAAAGGAATTTCTATTCCTCTTCTATGAAATAATAATAATTTCTATAAATAAATCCTAAGCTGTGACACTGGACCTACGGCTGTGTTAAGTATTGTCAGGAAGTCTCTGACTCTATACGTATACTAAGCACTATATGAAGACTGAGTAATGTCTCTCACTAATATATACTAGTGCTGTAATAGAAATGAATAGTGTTGTAGTTAATCAAACATAAATTTATCTTCAAAACACTACTAAATAACAGCTTTTTGTCATTATGTATTTCCTCACTCAAAAGATGCTAGAAAAATAAAAACTATTTTCCCCTACGCCTATGCAAGACAACCAAAGAAAAACCAATTTTAATCTGTCAAACTGGCAAAGACTAAATAAATGATGAAAGACTCATGCTGGCCGTGTTACAGAGAAACCAGCATTCCGCACTGCTGGTATGTGCAAACCTTATGGAAAGCCAAGTCTGGTTAGCATGATCCTAGATCCTTAAAAAGCACACACATTTTTTAAGCCAGGAATTCCACTTCTACAAATACACTCAAAGTCAAAAAACAATATGCCCAGATGGTTCACTCAAGCATGTCTATCTCAAAGTTGTCTTCACTGGGGGAAAATACTTAGACAGGGCATAAGAATGACGTCATTTGGCATCATTACGTTGAATGGCCTCCACGGATGAAGTGAAGGTGTTTGCAATACAACTAGGTCCAAGGTATCTTGCAGATATCTGTATGATGCACTCGCTCAGCTCCTTTAGGGACTTACTCAAATACCATCATCTCATTGACACCCACCTTAGCTATGCCATGTAAAACTCCAGTACAGACTCTATACACATACTCTCTCTACCCTTTTCCTATGTTTTCTTTTCCTTAGCATATATCACCATCCAACACTGTCTCGTTTATTACTGTTGTAATGTTAAGTTCCACATGAATAGGGACATTATATGAGCTCTGTTCAGTGCTCATTCTTCAGCACTCACAACATGTCTGGCATGCAGATAGCATTCAACACACATCTGCTAAATTTAAAATGTGTTAACTGAAAAAGCAGATCAGCCAGCATGGTGGCGCCCGCCTGTAATCCCAGAATTTAGGAGGCTGAAGCAGAAGGATCACTGCAAGCTCGACTCCAACCTAGGTTACAAAGTGAGCTCAAGGCCAGCCTGAACGGCACTGAACTCTGAATAATGAGACCCTGTCTCAAAAAGACAAAAGGACAAAAATAAATAAATAAACATTTTTTAAAAAAAGAAAAAAGCAGATCATATCAGTATATACTACAAAAATTTATGTTTTTATTTCTCTAAAAGTAAACATGCATACAAAGTAAAGGTCTAAAAGGAAAAAAGGTATTAATACTGAACATAGAATTACAAGGTTGGTACTGGTGGCTTTTAATACTCCATGTTGTGTTTTCTAATTTTTCCTAATACATTGAATACACAATCAATTTTGGAAGTGGTTCTTGCGTTAATTTAGAACTGAGAGCCTCACCACAATCTTTAGACTGAAGCAGGGGTTCTCAAAGTAACCCTAAAGAAGCTGAAACCAAGTTCTTCACAACTAAAAGCATGGCCTTCAGCCAACTCAAAACTTCTTACAAATCTCTCACTTCATCTTTAAAATTAATGCAGATATTTACTGCATTCTACAGAATAATTTTTTGCCTTACAAAAATTACCATTTAAACTATTTAATATTTCTCCCCAAAGCCTTAATATTAATTTTACACATGAGAAAGAAGCCCTGTGTATCCCCACCCACTGGCACCTATCTTTCTGAGAAGCATAATACTAGAATATACAACTATTTCAAGGAATACATACTCGCACACTCTAGCAAGCTCTTACTAGGAAGGTTAACTCACACGCTCACAAATTATAAAAGCCTATGGTGAAAACTTACATGAAGTGAATAAAGTTACCTGTTTGTATACATCTGTGTACAATAATATTAGTGGGTGCCAGAAAACCCACCTTTAACTCTCTAAAAGATAATTTTAAATAACAAACAGATAAATTCCATTTGGTACTATTTAAAAAAAAAAACAAAGGTACCAAAGGCTCTTCCCTAATCTGAATCCCTGATCTAATAACAACAAACGAATATGCCAACATCTTTGACTAAAATATTTAACAGGATTTATTTATTCAATTCTACAAATACTTCCTAAAGACATACTCTGTAAAAGGTAATATGCCACATGCTTTAAAACTTTTTCACCTTCTTTTATTCATAAAATAAAGGTTATTTAATTACAAAGATATTTGAATGCTTTAAAAATTTTAAAGACTATTTTTTTGCTGTTTTGTTTTTCCACACTTGAAATAGATTCCCCTTGTTTCATAAATAGTACTAAGGCTCTAAGTAGGCCAATAAAGAGACAAATTTCCAAGGTGAAGGCAGAAAGCCCCCAAGAACTTCATCTCCTGAGCATCTTCCAGAGCTCTTTTTCCATCTTCAATTTTATATCACATTAATGTAACTTCTGGCACTATTCAATATACAATCCCATTTCTCCCTAAATCCACCTGCATAGTGCTAAGGGACTCCTATTTAACAAATTCCTAAAAGGGTTGGGAGGGCAGTGGTTAGGGAAGGAAAAAAAAGAACTGAGATGTGTTTGGGTTTTGTACATTTACCAATTCCCCACTATAAATGTAATCACTGTGTACTGAAAACATGTCCTAATAAAAATTAAAGAAATTTTTAAAAACCAAATTAGTAAGCTGCATGCATATCCTCATACATTCAAGTCTAATATTATTTAAGTCAGATAATACTATTCTAAAACACTTCAGTGAAAAAGCCTGGCATGGTGGCACACACCTGCAATCCCAGCACTCGGGAGGCTGAGGCAGGCGGATCCTTGCAAGTTCGAGGCCAGCCTGGGCTACAAAATGAGCTCAAGGCCAGACTGAACTGCATAGTGAGACCCTTTCTCAAAAAGACAATCAATCAATCAATCAATCAAATAAGTGACATATTTTTCCCTAAAAGCTTTCAATTAGTATTTTAATATCTAATTTCTATGCCTGATTATTAGTATGTGGTAAATAAAATCAATTAATTTAGGTATGAATTAAGCTTAATTGATGTTCTATATTTCTTAGAATTTGTGATATTTATACATATTCACATTTTGTGTTTAAAAAGTGATTTATTAATATCTAATTTCCTGCAAACAGCCACTAAAAATAACCACATTCTTAAACCACGTGCAATCATTCTATTCGTAAGAGCCGACTTTACCAAAAATTTATACACGTTCAAGTCACTGACTGAAATGTAAGTTCCCACGGCAGGCATAAATGACAGGCACTCTTAATGACATCATTCCACCAAGAACTGCACTCAACTTACAAAGACATAAAAGATTCATCCTATAAAAATCATTCTGCTTTGCCCTAACAAAGCACTGTACACTTACTTTAATAATAGTGGCAAATGGATTTAAAGTTCAAGCTTCCTATTTAAAACGCAGCGTTTCTCTTCTACATAATAGAACTTTCGCAGGCATTGCCACAACTTTGTATCACAAGGCGTGGGGTTTATCTAGCATTATAGCTATTCAAGCAAGAACTATTGTCGAGCTGGACATGGTGGTGCACATCTGTAACCCCAACTACTCAGGCAGCTGAGGCAGGGCCATTGCAAGTGCTGAAGCTAACCTGAGCTAGGGAGACCCAGTCTCAAAATTTAAAAGAATTTTAAGCTCCCTAAATTCAAACCCTAGTACTACTAATAACAACAACAACCTACTATAGGAAGCACCAGGGCTGTGCTTTTGAAGTGTAAATGGGGTTCACAGAGATCTAGGGGGAACAAAAACAGAATCCCAGGGATGGGGATAGGGAAAGACTTTAGTTGAAACAAAATACAATCCTTTTGTATGCTTAAACATAGACATTTATCAAAAAGCAAACTATGGATGACTTCACAGATGTAGATCAAGGAGCTTAGGAGCAAAAACACAATCCTCAAGAATATAAATTCTTAGCCTTACCTCCACCTAGTTAACGAGGGTGATGGGTACAGGGCTAGAAATAGCGTCTGATAAAATGAGCGGGATCTAGTAAAGTGCCACTGCCACATGTTGATATTTTGACACTGGCTCACTTTATTTCTCTAAATTACACTGAAGAGGAGCTGGGCGTGGTGGCACACGCCTGTAATCCCAGCACGCTGGAGGCTGAGGCAGGAGGATCGTTGCGAGTTTGAGACCAGCCGATGCTACCAAGTGAGCTCAAGGCCAATCTGAACTCCATAGCAAGACCCTGCCTCAAAAAGATTAATTAATTAATTACACTGAAGATCTATCATAAAGGCAGGCGCAGCCCCTGCTCTGCCCCTTGCCCATCTCGCTTAAGCTGCGGTCTCTCAGTAGGAGTGGACGACCCTTCAGTTCTAGCCAGCCCCGGAGAACCCGCAGAGACAATCACACCACAGGCTCCTGCACTTACGCAGGAGACAGGTGGAATAAGGCAGAGTTGAGCACCGCGATGTGGCTGTCTAGAAAACGACTTGGCCCCACCAGACTCAGCTGTCCCCAGAAGCACACGCCCCTGCCTCCACCCCCGCAGGCCCAGAGCGCGCCGCGAGGGAGAGGGCGTGCCCGCGCCGCGAGTCGTGGGCGGAAAGGCACAGCGGTAAGGTTTTGTACCGGTGCGTTCCGCTTCCTAGGCCTGCAGTCGTTAAAAGAAGAGGCACGGTGATTCCAGCTCTAGAACTGCGGCTGTACCGGTACGCGGCGGCGCGCAGCAAACTTTGGGACAGTCTGAGAGGCTGGCGCTCGGCGCCGCCCGCCCTCGGGCTCCCCGAGACACCGCGCAGGCCCAGGGCTTCCCACTGGCCTAAGGACACTAGGCGGACTGCGGGAGAACACTCCTGGGAAGCGACGCTAAGCTTGGGGAGCACCACGTTCCCAGGGCGAACCAACTTGCTCAGTCGTTCTTCCAACCTTTCCCGCGTTAAGGCGGGGGCGGGGAGCGGTGTGTCACGTGCTGAGCCGGACCAATAGCACTCGCGAAGGCGAGGCGGGTGGGGCGGAGCCGCCGAGGGGCCACCTCCCAGACGGACCCCCGCGGGCCCTGATGGTCACCTGAAGCGGAACACCCCGGAGCACCCCGCCGCGGCCCCTGTTCTGCCCCAGGCCGTGCCGCCGCCATAAAGAAAGGGTCCACGCGGGTCCTGCAGGCCCACCGAGCGGTGCTGGGAGGGCCGACCGCGTCCGGTCGCCATAGAGACCTGGCGGGTACTGCCTAATGGCCCGACCTCCCCGGAGAACACCGCCCCCACCTCGAGCGCGTGCGCGGACGAGCGACCAAACACGTGCATGCGCACTAAGCACCTCCAGATAGTCCTCGCTCTACCTCTGGGAGCAGCTTCTAGACACATCTGGGGTCAACCCCGCCGTAATGAGGCCAAAGACGCCATACGTCACGAAGCCGCAGGAAGTTTGCGACAGGCACCTACTCGGTGGCGACACCACTCATTACCATCTGTTGCCTGTTTGAGTTTTTGAGAGGAAACTGAAACGCAGAAACTAAATCATTTGCCCCTAAGTATAGTAAAGCCAAGTAAGACAAAAGAATTCCCAGGTGGCAGAGTCCTCTCCAAGAAAGTCACTAAAACAAGCAGTTAACAGCTGCTTATTTAACTTTTCCAAGTTCTGTCTGAACAGCCCTAACACTGGCACAAGTGCCCACCCCATGCAACTATAAGAACGAGCTGTGTCGGCGCTACCACCCGCGCAGAGGCGTCTGGGAGGTGTTAGAGGGCTGACGGGCTCTGGCTGCCTTGCATTGTGGGAGATGCAGTCCCTCCTTCCTTCCTCTCTGCGACCCGTCGATTAAGCGTAAAGTCGTTAAACTCCGCTTCCCAGAATGCCTGCGAGATTCCCAGACTGCTTTACGAAGATATGGCGGGGAAGCTGCGAATGTCAGCTCGGAAGGTAATCGGGACATTTTAATTGAACTAACAAGAGGACAAAAGACACGAACATTTTCTCGGGAGACTTTTCGTCAGTATACACCTAAAGCTCCTATAATACAAATGTGTGAATTTCACTAGTCAAATGGTCAGGCTGTGAATCTTTGCTGATTGTAGTTAGCATCCGCACTACGCGGAAGTTTTCTTTGAACATGATCTGTCCTTTTCTACGAGCTGTACAGTATGCCGAGAAGATACACAGATCCCCCGGGGGGCGATTGTTGTTGCCACACTTGGCGTTTAACAAAGCTTGCTTTACAACTGAGCCTAGTTTGAGATGGGGGCTGCAAGAGCAGAAGAAAAAGGTTCGACCTGGATCTATCTTTGAAGTCGCCCGGAAAACTATCTGGACGCAGGGACCGCGACCCCAGAAAGCAGAGAACAGCGGCAAGCAAGTGTCTGTGCACAGAGGTCAGAAAGGGGAAACCACCATCCCAACGACTCAGAAAGGTAAAAAGCAATGTTTGTAGTGGCCATTCCTCCATCCAAGCTGAGGAGAGCTACCAGTCACATTTTTCTTTTTTTAATCTCGAGCTTACAACTAAAATTGAAAAAGTATTTCACATAAATTAAAAAGTGTGTCCGTTAAAGACGGTTTACAACTAGAGAACATAAACCTGTTTTCACAAATTTGAACTAGGACTTGAAAGTTGATTGTAATAGTGATATAATTATTGCACTGTGTATAGAAAATTTTTATCAACTTGTGTTATGCATATATGTAATTGAATAGTATAAATAGAAGAGGTTATTGAGTCATAAGCAAAAGGGTTTCGTACTTCAGCTCTATAAACTCTTCTATTAAATAACTGATTTTATTTGCAGATCCTAAGTGAGAGTCTATAGACTGCAAAATTAAAGACGTCTAAACATCTCTTTTCCGCAGACACTTTAGGTGCACTAATAGAAGACAGGGAGTAGGGAGGATGAAATGTAATTTTGTTAGGGAAAGTGAGAGACGTTTTTACAAGTATTTTACACCTTTTGTTTATTCATTTTGCAGGTAATTTATAAGAAAACAAAAGGAAGCAAAAAAAGCAGTTCAGACCCCCATTATTATACCACACAAAGATGACATTAATATTTTGGTTATTATGATGATATATACTTTTTAATTTGGGGGGGTCCTTTTTTAACATAAAATTGATATCCTACCAGTTGTTTTGTAACTTGCTGGGTATGTTAAAAATGTAATCCAAGATTTTCACTCGTGATAGTAATTTAGCACAAAACAACAAACAGCTCATGTGCTGAGGTGAAAGATACACAAGTATCAAATGACATCTATGTTGGGTCATCTGGCTGAAGCAACAGGGCGGTTTTCACAACAGGCTGCACTTGCTGCAGAGCCCTTTCCTGATATGGAACCCCCCCACAAAGGTGACAGTTTTCCTTCCTAGTGATTCACTGAGCTGATGGGAACAGTATTCTCACGTATAGAATATGCTGCTTCTAGAATCCAAAGAGTTCAATCAAGAATTATGGTGAGAAGGAAAGGATGCTGTCTTTTACTTAGGATAGGATGTCCCAGCATGCCTCAGAGAGTTTACCCCTGCAAGTCTCACAGATGGTTTGGTGAGCCTCGGAATCTTGTCGGGCTCACCTCTCACATTTGGAACACACACCTTACCAAGCCCTCTGACACACTTGCCACTTGTTCCTTGACTCTAGTATAATGACATTGATATAGTAGAGAGATGTGATATTCTGCTGAATGTCGAAAATAGCATTATCCAAATAAAATATTCTGTAGCAATGGAAATATTCTGTATCTTTGTTGTCCAGTATGGTAGCCACTGGCCACATGTGGCTTTTGAGCACGTGAAATGTAGCTAGCATGACCAAGGGACTTAATTTTAGTTAATGTGATATTAAACTGAAATAACCATAAGTGGCTAGTAGCAACTGTACTGAACAGTCCAAGACCAGAAGATTTCCATTCTATGTGACTATATGAAGAGACTGAGAGAATTATCAAATTCTAGCAAAGAACACAAATAAATGTATCCTGCTATCCCTTTCATGTTACTGCTAACTACAGCTGCTGCTGCTGCTTCTCAACAGAGGTATAAAGCATCCTTCAACCTCAGGGCATGTATTAATGTGCTCCCATAATGTTCTCATATCTGGCATCGCATGTGTGTGGAGGGCTACTGCTTGGTTGATTGCGGTCATCTACAATTACTCTCTAGCACTTAATCTGATTTTTGGAGGGGAAGACTGGTGACTGACATAGGAATACAACAGCATCCGCCACTCCTGTATCATTACGTGTTTAAGAATAGCACTATTTTTGCCATTCCCCCGTAGCTGTAATAATTTTTTTATTTACTATCTTGGTCCACAAGAGGAATTTCAGAGGCTTTCATTAAACTTTGGATGTAGCTGTAAATCTGTTATAAGTAACTTTGTTACACAGCCCCACACATACCTACCAGGGATTTAGGATGACTCTAGATCTTCAGGAATTGTTGGTGCAGACCCTGTGGCCAAGTTAATGGCAGTAGGTTCCTTTATTGAAACATAATCGAATCATATACTCTTGCTCACATTGCTGTGAAGGAATGGTCCTTCTTTCAGTAAATGGCTTCCTGGTCTGAAGACTTATTCAGGAACAGAAAGTGTGGCAGTGAACATAACTTTCCATTACAGCAATTGCCTTCAGCATCCTGCTTGTCCTTAATTAATTTTCATGACTATGTAATTGAGCAGTATCCTTGTCAGCTGCCCATTAGTGTTGCCCTTGGAACATCATGATGTTGTAATCATCTATGTTGCTCTTTGCAAGTCAGACACCCCTGGCTGTCACTCATCCTTACCATTTATTAGGATAGTTGTACCTACCTGTTAAATACCATGACTTTGTCTCTCAGTATTCTTTCATCCCCGTGCTGTGAGGGAATCCTGCCCTGTAAATATGTAACTGTGGCTTCCATTTAGCTTTGATAAGCGTCCTCCATACCCTCCTATGGAATATGGTCGGCTAGTGGGTTTTGAAGCTTTCTAACTTATATCTAGTCCAGTGTGCCCATTCTCAGCCTGCCTTTACCAGTTTGCCATGCGAGTTCCATCATTTTCACGTTCATTTATTGTGGACCATCACTGTTAACAAGTTTCCAAGAGCAAACCTAGCTGTGTATCAGTTTGCCAGGTGCTTTCCTCATTGATAAATTCTTCATCACCATAGGGTGCCCCCATGTGGATCAACTCTCAGTCTGCCGGCTTTGTAGTCTGTGCTCTTCGCTAAACTTTTTTTTTTAGCAATACTAGGGATTGAACCTAGTGCCTTCGTACTGAACTATATCCCCATCCCTTTTTCTATTTTGAGATAGTTTTACTAAGTTGCCCAGACTGGGCTTCAACTTGCGATCCTCCTGCCTCAGTCTCCCAGAGTATTGCATCTACAGGTTTGTGCAATCACACCCACTCCTTGGTGTCCTTTAAGGGACAGTCGTATACTGTATATGTTCTCCAAGCTCTTGAACGTATCATCCATCTCTTCCCATCTCATACCTAGTTATGTTGTCCTTGGGCACAAGGGGAGAAAGGTGGAATATTTCCTGAAGGACTGCCTGTCTTGTTAGGCAGAAGTCTCAACCTACTCATGAAAAGAGGGCATGCTAATCTTAAATGAGAAAGAATAAGTCACTTTTTCCGGCCTAGAAGTTTCAGAAGAATCTGAAGATTGCATGTTTTTGAGAGCATTAACCTCAGTATGTCGGTACCAAGCTTTAGGTTTCCTTTCATCCCAAATCAGAGCCTAGCTTTTGTATCGAAGACCTGCTAGGCTTGAAGTGCTGGCCTCTCTGCTGCTCTGATGACTTGGGCCTGATCCTCAGCCTTTTTTTTTTTTTGCTTCTGGATGCAGCCCATGTGGCCTCAGAGAAATATCGGCCTTTCTCACATCACCTTCACTGGGGATTCCTCTTATCTTCTTAGCATCTTTCCCCAGTATATTTGTGTCCCATCCATAGCCACTGTCCTGAAATTTCTTATTCCTCCAATATTCCCAAAAATAGCAATTCCAGTGCATTCTGTCTTACCAGGATAGAATACTCACCAGTCCTGGGTGGCAGCTGTAACAGGTGCAGTACAACTGCACGCTTGGCCTGTCAGTGCTCCTTGTTGCCAGCAAATGGCTAGTGATTGAGCTCCAAAGTCCAAATTTGGAGCTGCTTCCTTGGACCATTCCCTGTAGTACCTCCGGTAGCTCCACTATGTATTTGAAGGGAGAACTACTCTCAGAGCACGTGTTGAGGGTCAAGAGAAGTGTGACTGAGCAGAGCAACTCATGTCCATATGCAGTAGAGCCAGCCCTCTGCCAGTCCTAGGGGAGCCCTGAGTTTGGGCAGCCATGGGGAACAGCCATGACCTAGTGAGGATGCTCTATTTGGATAAAAAAATGCCTAAAGAGAACTCAACTGAGAACAGTGAGCTACTGCTTCTCTCTGCAGGCACCTAGTACTTCTTTCTGGGGGTACCCACTAAAGGGCAGAGACACAAATGGATGAGTTTTTTTGTTTTTATTTTTTTTCTCACTTTTTTAATGAAATTACTAGGTCTCAGAGGTTAAGAGGAGGGAAGATAGACAATAAGCAACGTCCATTGGAGACAGCTGTAAAATAACAGTACTATCAACTTGGAGCTTGGGCATACAGCTGGCAGTATTGGTTAAAGTATATTAGTCATGTCATGTTTCCATCGCTGGACACAGGAGGAGTTTAATTTGGCTCACAGTCTCAGTCTGTGGTTCACTGGCTCCAAAGTGGGAACATCATGGTGGAAGGGTATGATAAAGCAAAGATGGTTACTTCATACAGAGGGGAAGCGAAGCAAGAGATGCGTACCAGAGAGGAAGGCATAGATCTTAAAGCCACACCTCCATGACCTACCCAGCCACACCTAGAAGTGTGCTGCACTAACCCAGAACAAATCCCAAAACCAGTCAAGTTGAAACTCCACTGTAACCACCACATGTATTTTGTGGCATTCATGGAGAATGGAGTGAGATATTGTCATGGTAAGCCTCTCAACATCTGAGTCTGCGTAGCGAGTTTATGGTGACACTCATCGATTAGATTAGTCTTGTAAATTACAGAGATTTTAGCAGATGCATTCCTTTTAGTGTTGGAATCATATCTTTTAGGTTAGGAACCTGCACTGAAAATTTGAATAATTGTGCTATGCTGAAGACCATTTTTAAATAAATATTGTAATATGCAATGAAATTACAATGGTGAACTCTTACCATCTGGTCTAGTGAAACTGTATAATCTCTACTGTTTTATTGAAGAATTACTTTCTTATTCCCTACAATGGTTTGAGCAATCTTTCATTCTTACATCTGGTAATCTGAGCAATGTAGTTGAGGACAGCGATATGTAATATAACAACTAGTTGATTCGTAAAAGATAAATAAATATTGTAAAGTAATAGAAGTTTATGATACAAAAAGGGGAGAAAACAATGATAAACTTAAAATTTTGCTTTTCTGAAAAAAAATTGTAAAGAGATTCATGTTTAAGAAATCTAGGTTCCTAGCCAGACATGGTGGTGCACACCTGTAATCCTAGCACTCGAGAGGCTGAGGCAAGAGGATCTTTGGGAGTTCAAGACCAGCCTGGGCTACAAAAGTGAGCTCAAGGCCAGCCTGAACTGCACAGCGAGACTCTGTCTCAAAAAGACAAAATAAATAAATAAATAAAATAAAGAAATCTAGGTTCCTGATGTGAGTAAATTAATCAGTAAATATGATACTAAGGAGGTAATGCACTTTTCAGCAACAGTGAAGTAAATGTGATTGTAGTAGCTTTTGCATATATGTAAGATATCTATATAATGTACATACATCTGTGCAGTGGTACCTTGGTTCACAAACTTAATTTGTTCTCCAGTTTTGGAAAACATGGCTATGATTGTGTTTGTATGGGAAAGATGGCCTCGGTCATGTTTGTCACCTAATACAGTTTGCAAACAGAACCGAAATTTTGCCAAATCCTTGTTTGTGAACCAAATTGTTTGCAAACAAAAGTGTTCATGAACTGCGGTCCTGCTGTACCCTGTCCCATACCAGTGTATTGCTTGAATTTTTTAGCTCCCAGAATTTTCTCTTTAATCCACATATACATCTCTTATTAGTGTGGAAAAAAATAAGTACAATATATCTTCTATGTAGATTCTTCATTTCCTAAGCTTTTTAAATTCATAAATCTTCCTGGCCAGATTCCAGCTCTGAATTCAGTTTTCTTTATATTTCAAGCACCAGTCTGTGGGGGAACAAAGGCTGATAGCATTTGAGAATGTTAATCTGTGCCCAGCAAGCCTGGGTCCATTGTTTCTAATCTGTTATAGTTGTTCTCACTCTGAAGGACTAGATGAGGATCTCCTCCTGCTAGAAAGCAAAGCAATGTTAAGATTTTAACATTAAATAAAACAAAAACAGAGATTCCTAGGCTCTGTTCCAGGATTCTCCTCAAGTTGTAAAGCACAGGGAGATTTGAGAACAGCTGCTGAGAACACTCCGGAGCCATTTACTTTGACCCTGACTCCTGTGTGTCCTACTAGAAATGCTGAAGCTCGAAGCAGACTGGTTTTCAGCAGGCACACGTATAACTCACTGGCATTCTGTCTTTACAGTGAAAGAAGCTGGACGAGATTTCTCCTATGTAATAGTGGTACTCATTGGAATCAGCATTACAGGTAGCAAAAAACAACAAGTATACTTCTGCATATCCCTTTAATATAACTTGTCATCTTGTTCTTGCTTTGCTTCATCTTCTTTTTCTGTGATTTTTCAGGTGGCTTGCTTTACACGATTTTCAAAGAACTTTTTTCTTCATCCAGTCCTAGTATGATATATGGGAAAGCCTTAGAAAAATGCAGAACACATCCTGAGGTTAGTTCTGTGATGAGAGGGAGAACATGTCGGGAGGAGGAACAGGTAGAACTCAAGTACCAGTTTCGAAGCCAGCTAAATGCATAGTAATGCTGTTGGCTGGCTTGTGATTGTGTTATGAGGTCTTTGTTCCGTATTTGAAACACTTTGATCACAGCTACCCAAAGTCAGTGTATGGGTGTTTCATCCTAATTATGGATACATATTTTTCAGCATTTTGAACAAATAGGACTCCATAAAATAAACACAAAGAATGAACTATTATTAAGGTGATAATTTGTTACCTAAAGGAGCTTTATGAATAGTAGTTAAACTGTAACAATTCAGTTTTTCCACTATGTTTTTTAAAGAGCCAACTCAGTTGGGTATCATGCCTGCTCAAAAAATAAAAAATCCTAATATTCTAATACTCGTATGTTTATTAAATTACTTGGGCATTTACTCTACTTGTTTTAGCAAATATCTGTCATCTTACATATTACTCCTTTTCATTCATGCCTGGAAGTTGTGAAGATACTCAGCAAAGAAAAAAATAAGAATTATACAAAGATGAGGGCAAAACTCTTTTTAGTTTGATATCACATTTGTATTTTTTAGAGAGAAGCCTAAGTATATGATTATTAAATTGAATAAAAACTACATTTCTACTTCTTGTGAATTTTTCCATTAAGAATTACAGATTCATACTTGGTTTATTTTAAATGCGTCATTGTTATTCATTTTTTTCTGCATGTATTTAGTGACAAAATTTCATGTTGATCTCATAGCTTTTAGTATTAAACCCATTTGTTAAATTTATTAAAATTATTCAAACATTTTGTCTTCAAGCCATGAGGTGTTAGTAGAGAAATGTTAGGACACTTCTTTTTTTGTAAGGGACATGAAACAGCTTCATTTCAATGAACATTATTCCAAAATTACAAGTGACACCATGAAATTACCTGTTGCCATCTCTGTGCATGAAATATTTGAATTGTCTGTGGGATGATTTTTGCATAACTTTTCCCCCAGTGTTCTCATCATTGGAGCCACCATTTTTGAAATGGCTCTAGACTTACTGATTTCTTTTTCCCTAAAATATTTTCATCAGGAAATAAACTTGTAGAAACAAAATTAAAGCACTAAAAGTAAGCATTGTCTTTATTCTTCAGGTGATCAGTTTCTTTGGTGAGCCTGTTAGAGGCTACGGGGAGATGACGAGACGGGGTCGAAGGCATCATGTCAGGTACAATAGTCTGCTTGCAGTTAGAAAGCTCAAGGATGGTTTCTAAGTAAAAGGAACTGTGACTTACGTTATTTCATGTCTCAACAGTTTTATCGATTATGTAAAAGATGGGATGAAACACACACGTGTGAAATTCTACATCCAGGGGTCCGAGCCAGGGAAGCAAGGAACAGTGCATGTGGAAGTAAAAGAGGTGAGAGAATGGGGTTATCAGGGGTCAGTGGTTCTGAGCACAGTGTTATCTAAGCTTTGGAAAGGAAATAACACCTGGAATATATTTTTTTCAGAATCCAAATAATGGTGAATATGAATTTCGGTATATATTTGTGGAAGTGGAATCCTATCCTAGAAGAACTATTATCATTGAAGATAATCGATTCTGAGATAATTAAAAGAATCAAGCAAGCATACTATTTCCTGGTTGGTGTGGAATGGTGCAGATTCATTGTGATCTTCATAGCTCTCTTCCAGAATCTGTTCAGAAGAGTAAGACAAGAATATATCATATCACTCATAAAAGTGAATGTGATAAGATAATTTGATACATTTAAACAAGTCTTTCTTGTGAAAAATCATGAAATAGACCATAGAGCATATTTTCTTAGTGTGAATTGTCAATTATGGCAGTATTTCTGCTTATTTAACATCATTCATAATGAGAATTTTTTGTTACTGAAAATTTTGCACCATGTAAATAAAATAAATTTAAATATTTTGGTTTTTTATATTATGTAATTAAGGCTGGCAAGGAAAAATTAGAACTAAGAAAAATGTCAAAAAGTATCTTTCTTTTTTTTTTTTTTTTTGGTACCGGAAATCGAATTCAGGACCTTGTGCTCGCCAAGCAGGCACTTATGCCACTAAGCTATATCCCCGGCCCTGAAAAATATCTTCTTGCTGTATAATTTGGAATCTGTCTTGAGATAAACATACGGAAGTATTTGAGAACTGTAGTGAGCTAGATGTTAAACACATTATAGAAAGGTTGTGGAAATCGTATAATTTAGGAATCTGTTTCCTATTTTCCACTCTGTGACTGAGGCATTGTCTACTGTGGGAAGAGAACACAAATTGCACCCTGGAGAACCGGCTCTCACTCCACCTTTTCTAGCGAGTGTGCAGACTGTGCGGGTCCCTCAGCCTCCTGAGACCTCACTACTCTCTGATTGGCTTGCTACTGAGTGAGAAAATGGGTACAAGTGCCTGGACTCCCAGCCCCTTTGGAACTTAGGCTGATACTTGACACTGCCAAGAGAACACCAGAGATAAGTGATAGTTGTTCAAATGTATGTGAGAAGCCCTTTTTAAAAAATATTTTAAAAATGTGAACACTCTATTTTATTGGAAGTATTTGCTGGACACTTGACTTGTTAAAAAGTGACCCTCACTTGCAAGTCTTTTTTTTTTTTTTTTTTTTTTTTTGCGGTACCGGGGATCAAACTCAGGAACTTGCACTCCCCAGTCAGGGGCTTATGCCACTGAGCTGTATCCCCAGCCCCACTTGCAAGCCTTATCACATAACTAAAGTGTTCTGTGTGCAGTGATCTGCAGAGGCTTCAGAGTCGGCATTCCCCAGCACTGTGTCTTTGTTCTGTAGAACTGACAGTGGAGAGGTTTCAAATGGATTTTTGAGATCTTAGCATATTCAGGATAGAAAGGTACACAGGAAATCTGTTTCCCTGTTTAGTTTATCTCTTTACTTAAGTAGTTAAATTTTTTGTTTAACTGCTGTCTGAAGTGTTCTATTATTTTAATTCTAAACATTTCAAACATTTAGGAAGTATGAAAAGTGTCACAGCAGAACTGTTGTCTCACAGAGGAACATGCTTTCAGTGACATGGTGAACTCTTAATTTGGGTTAGGTCTCTTAGCCAGTTTTTCTGTCCTTCCCAGTAGATTGCTTCCTATCACATACAGAACTATTTTTTGTATGCATAATAAACTTAAAGTTTTTAAATGTGATCTGATTTTGTTTTTGGCAATAAAAACATGGAGGTTATCTACCTCTACATAGCTGTACTAGTGAGTCTCAATCTAGCTTGATTTTATTCATCTGCTCATTGACATAATTTTATAGCCAGAGATGTATCACCATTTAAAATTATAGAAAGATATTGCCCCTTGTAACCATGTTAAGTGAAATAAGACACAAGCTTAAATATCACTTGATTTCTCTCATGTGAAAGGCCCAAAATATAAATAGCAAAATAAAAGATAGATAAAAGGAAGTAGGGAGATCTTTCTCAAATGGGAAAGAGATCAAGAAATGGTGAGAGGTAGGAGGCAGGGGAAAGGACTGGAAAGAGAATTAAGATGTGTTGTGTACAAGCACCAACTCCCCACAAACGGTGTAATCATGAACTGTAAATGTACTAATAAAAAAGAGGCAAAAAAGTGTTACTGTTTATAATTTTATAAACGTTAATTGGTTATATCATGAAATTACTGAAATATGTATTTGTATGAGAATTTAAAATCAAGAGAAAATAAGCCACCAACAACCAGGACACAGGAAAAAATACAAATTATTTATTTGTTGTCTACAGTTCTTGATAATATTCCCTAAAACACAGAAACCTAGAGATAATTATATGTAAGTGTTAACCTACTTAAAATCACTATAAGGAGGTCCAGGATATAGCTCAGTAATAGAAGCACCTGCCTGGCAAGTGCAAGGTCCTGAGTTCGATTCCCAGTACAAAAAAAAAAATCACTATAAAGAAAAATGTTTTTTATATTCTACATATATGAGCAAAACAAAGTTTTCTCTTGGATTTTTTTTCATCTTACTAGAAGCTTCATAAAGTAACTATAAATCCAGTGAAATATTTCTCTTTTGACAGTTTTTCCCCAGTAATAACTAATATGAGCTGATTTTGTATAAATTTTATGATAATCAAGTATGTATTGAAGTGGTCATTTGATCAGCTTCAATGATAATGCTATGGAAAAAAAATCACTGGTACTCCTGAAGCCCTATATTTTAAATTAGTTGACTATAAGATAATTAAATATGAGGAGTTTCAAATCTGTATTTATTTGACAAACACCTGCATGGCCCTTACTGTGTACCAGGCATTGCTCTAAGCACTCTATAAATAGCTTGTTTGACCTTTGTGGCAACTCCATGGCTACTCCAAAGTTTCAGTTTTACTGATAAAGTAATTGATACATAGATGGATCCCAAAGCTAATATGTGGTAAAGATAGAATTTCACAAAGCTAATAAGTGGTGAAGATAGAATATTTACTTAAGTGGTATTTTGCTGTCACTATACAATGCTATCTATGATATTTTGTTCTCAGCTTGGTGGCTTACTGCAAGATTAGTAAGAACAGCAAAGAGTTTGAGACTAAAGCTAAGGAATATTAACAGTAAGGGCCTGAGAGAAAGAGGAGGAGCCTTCAAAGGACATGGACAGATGAATAATTGATGACAAGTGATATTCATGGATAAGACAAGCGAGGAAGAGACAGGACAAAAAGGTGGGAGGGAGAAAGCTAGGAGAATGTTGCTGGCTGAATTATGTCATGCTAAGAATTTATATGTTGGAGCCTCCAAATCTCAGAAGTCTCAAAACCTGATTGAGAGAAAAAAACCTTTAAAGTGATTAAGGTAACACTATGATTGGCCCTAATTCAGTTTAACTTGTGTTCTTATAAGAGGACTTTTGAATATACAGCAGCACACCAAGGATGCCCTCGCACAGACAAAAGACCATGGGGAGGACATAGAAGAGGACCATCTGCCAACCACAAAAAGAGACCTCAGGGGAAACCAGACCGCTGACAGTGTCATCTTGGACTTCCAGCTTTCAGAACCATGAGAAAATAAATTTCTGTGTTTAAAGCACAAGGGCTATGATATTTTGTCATGGCAGTTCTAGCAGGCTAATGCAACACCAAAATCAAGAGAAAACATAAGGAAAAGAGAAAGAACTAACGAGCAATGTCAGATGCTGATAAGACCATAAAGAATTACTCTCTTTTCAAATTGTCATCATTATGCATTCATGAATTGTCACTCTGGTTTCAGTCCTTTTGAGACTTTTGAGACTCCTTCTGAGACTTCTTTAGCTTTTATATGTCTGAGCAGAGCTAGACTCCTCTACATTGGAGAGAGGGATGGCACAGGGATCTACCAGCATCCTGGCATCTGCCTCCATGCTGAGCTGGTTGAGACCAGCCATACCTTCACTCATAATTAAGAGATGATGTTTCTTGGGCACTGTTCCTACACTTGAGGTATATGTAATGGTCAGATCTCTTCAATACAACCCTAAATAGAAAGCAAATGCAGCTTCATACTGGAGATTTCTCACAGGAACATTAAACCTTTTAACAGTAAACCTTGTTACAGTAACATGAAGTTTATTTTTCTCAGAAAAGTGCACACAAATGTTCTTTGCCTCGCAAAACAGGCAAAATCAATTTCATGTGAGGATTGGAGATTTTATCCTATAAAAGAGAATTAGACTTCAGATTGCATTTTAAAATATGAATCTAGAAAATATTCCTAAAATTTCATTATAAATTACTGTAATACATGTATAAAAATACTGTTTAAGGTAGCTCTTAAAATGCATTTCATTCATCACACTCAGACAGGACCTGGTGACATCTTTCTCTGTTGCTATTAAATCTTTGGCCTTTGAGGGCCACTTCCCTTATTTTTTATTTTTGTAATTGACAAAAGTTGCATATATTTACAGTCATATTTGAAATTTTCTTCACTTTATCATGTGGTCAAACACCTGACAGTTCACAGGTAAGACAAACTTGTGGCTTTTCATTGGTACCTAACGCTTCCCAAGTTAAAAATAATGGTCAAATAGTCTTGGGGTTAAATGATAAAATATAACAAAGCTAATTCAGAATATTATAAAATAATACTTTTATTAAAACTACCAACTGTACAAATTGGAGTCTAACTTTTCAAAGTTAAAATTTAATAGCTATTTCTTCAGAAGTTTGGAAAAA